TGATTGTGGTAAGAGTTGTATGAGCCCCAAATAAAATGATTAAAAATAAAATAAAATAGTAACTTAAACAAAAAAAAGACTGCTTACCTCTTTTTCTTTTCTGAGGAAACTGCCCTTTAGCTAACTTAAGGGTGGTAGCTAAGTCCGAACCCTTGTTTGCTCCAGCAGTAGTTCTTCTGGGAAAAGGGCAGCCCATGTTCATCCTTTTACTCTGTACCACGAGTGGTGTGCTTGCCTTCCTCTTTGGCTGAACTCTCAGATTTGCAGCTGAATTTAATGGAACCACATTTCTTTTCCTTGCATTCAAAATATCCTCAGAATTCTTTTCTGTCTCTTTTCTTAATTCTGCCTCGGAGTCATGAAAACCAGGTTCTGGAGTCACAGGTAGAGAAAATCCAGCATCACAAACTCCATCGGAAAAACAAGGGGACTGAGGGTGCTCTGCTATTAAATCTAAAGCAGTACACACTTCCAGCATATAATGACTAGGCTCTGAAAGATAGGACTTTAACTGAGTTAAAGACTGTAACGGGCACTTTTCAGCTGGAGGAACCAAGTCAAAGTTATCGGACAGTGTGGCACAGAGCGTAGTCTCTTTAATTCCATCCTGAGAAGCAGCAGCTAGCAACGATGGATTTTTGTCCACCTTGCACAGCTCTTGGATAGTGCGCTTTATTAGTGTGTTTAGATGAGCTCCTTCAGTAAGTGACTTCTTTGCTTCGAGCAGCGCACAATGGAGGGTGGGTATGATAGGTGTCACCTTCGATGAGATGCCTTCTTCAACTTTTGAATCTTTCATCCCTAAAATAAAAATAAATACATTAAAAATTACTTCAATTTCATTTTTTCCTGCCTGTTTCTGTAAATACATTCCAGTATTTTCCAATAGTACTGGCAATTAACAAAAGACTTATGTGTATTCTTGCTTAAATGAATACCTCCATATTTAAAACCATATAGTTACACCACACAGAGACATACACACGCGCACATACACAGAATTGGAGAAGAGTTATTTAAAATATAATGTTGGTTCAAAAGAAAATGTGGAATTCTATTTCCAAGTCCAAGAAAACCTACAGCATAAAACAATTATAATCTGAGGATTAAAGAAAATAATATTTATGCATTCATTCATTTAGCAAATATTGAAAGCCTACAATGAGGCAAGCACTGTAAATATAATGGAAGACAAAATAAACAAGGTCCTTTCCCTGACAGCCCATGTGATAAACACACACACATATAAGTAGGTCAACAGAAAGTATATGAAATCATAACATTAGAGAAGAAATCAACATAGGAAGCAGAAGGGTAGATTTTCAAGACAGCTTTTCCTGATAATATTTGAGGTTATGTGTGAACTTTCTTTAGACAAAGACAGCAGGGTATAAAAATCTTGCAGCTGGAATAAGCCTGATACTGTCAAGAAACTGAATGATTGTCAATATGGCTAAACCACATTATGATAATTGGAAGTAAGGTTGAAGACAGGTGGAAATAAGGCTGGAAATGTAGGCAGAGACCAGAACACACAAGGGTTTGAAGGCCTTGTTAAACAGAAGGGTATGAATTTAACATAAGAAAGATGGCAAGCTAATGAATTGTTACTAATAGGGTAAATATATATCAGGAGAAGATTGAATAATGGTAATAAAAGCACATATTCTATGGCCATAGAGCTTTCTCCTCACAATGGAGAGGCATATCAATAGTTTGGACAGGGTGTAGCAATGTCTGTGGGAAGATGTTCCCAAAGGATTCAAAAGATATTTACCAAGTTAAACTGCAAGAACTTAGTATTGAAGAAGGTATTAAAAATAAGTCCTAGGTTTCTGGCTTGGATAGTGAAGTCACTCACAAACATAGAGAACATTGAAGGAAGAGGGCAGATTTCTGTGGGCATGCTGAATTTGAGGCACGCTTGAAATATGTAAATGTATATGTGCATCTGAAATTTAAAGGAACTAATAAGCCTACAAAAGAAATAAAAGCAGGATCAAGGAAAAGCAGAAGGTCACAGTGTCATAGGCTACTGAGAGGTCAAGATAAACATCCAACAGATTTAGACACTGTGTGTTTACCTTCTGATGGAGATGGATGGAATAAATGCAACCCACGGAGACCCATCTGTTCATCTTCCAACCCTGTATTGAATGAGAATCAGAAGAAATTGATAAGTTGTTGGCCTTGTAAAGCAAAAGTAAGCATACTGAAAATATTTTTATTTCAATGAAGTTGTCGTTACCTGTATCTGACATTATGGCTGATGATGTAAGTAAAATCAAAACACCTCGATCTTCTAAGCATTTGATTATTGCCTGAGACAAACATTAAAAATAAAAAGTAAAACGCACATGAAAGTAGATTCTTCAACCTTCTTCTCCTTTCTCCCTCTACACTGCTTCACTAAAATTTTAAATTCATTGAAAGATAAAAAAAGATGACTGAAACTTTCAATGTTTATGGGAATTGGGGGAATTTTGCCGCAATATAAAAAACCGCAAATTCCTATGCTCTCAAATAGTCTTGAGACTACATATAATAACTACAACAGTCAAGATTCATTTTAGAGTATTGTTCAGTTGCATATAGATCAATCAGAAAAGCCTTACTGCATTTTCATATTAAGATGGTTGAGTTTTCATACTACTGCCCAAATAGTCAATGTTATCATTCAGCCATGACAAAGTCAATATGAATCAAACCTATGATTAATCAAACTTATGTTTAATCAAAACATACACAGAATTATGAAACTGAAAAGTCTGGAAGATAATCTGCCAAAATATAATCCTTTCTACAATATCCTAAGAGATGGAAAATAATGAAAAACAAAAAAAATGCTTATGAAAATAAATTCTTCCTCTCTTCCACTACTTTATATTATAGTCTTTGGTGGAATCTTGAACTCAAGAAAAAAGAGAGTCTTTGATGCCTACACAAACCGTGCACGTTCTGAGTCCATATAGCAGTGGATGCAAGTATCTCATACGGGACAACTCTAGCTGTCAGAACGCTTGTTCTTTCAAAAAATACCAGTCAGAGGGACTATACAGGCTTTGAAGATCTAATAGCTTTCATTCTAAGTCATAAAGTCATCGGTCTTTTTCCCCATTGTTCACCATTACAAAAACTACATATCCACAATAAAGATAAAATGTTATGCTCAAGCAGACATATTGTTGTTGTTACGTGTCGCTGAGCCAGTCCTAACTCAGAGTGACCCTATGTACAATAGACTGGAGCACTGCCTCGTCCTGCACCACCTCACTGGCTTTCCTATGTCTGAGTCCATTGCTGCAGCTATCGTGTCCATCTATGTTGCTGTTTTGTTGACCTTCTCCCAAGCATGCTATATCTTATCATTAGTGTCTCAAAGTATAGACTGAAAGGGTTGTATAAAGTTCCCGTTTTAATCTTCGAGGGGAGAAATCATAAAATCGTTTAAATATGTATTTCTAACCTTTTGTATATACACCCAGAAAAATACATCTTTTTTAAAAAGAGCTCTCTCCCTGTACTGCTCTTGAAGTTCAGAGTGCCAGATACAATGCCATGTATACTATATTCATTTATGATGTGTCCACTACACAGTGGATACTAAGGAGCCAAAGATGATTAAGACACGGCATTTGCCCTCAAGGAATTCAAAGTCTACATGAGAAGACAGATATATACAAATATTCATAACCAAAAAGAAGCTTAAGGGACTGAGGAGGTTGGCAGCTTCTTTAGACAAAGACTGCCCACAGAGGAAGGCAAAGCTGTGGGAGCCACAGGGAACACTTGAATCTGCCTTTCCAGCTAAAATTAAAAAGTTACACAAGCCAATTTATTCCCATTACTGCTTAAGTCAGCTTGGGTTTGTCACACGCAATCTGAAGTTCTTCAACTGGTACTACCACAAAACCAAATTACCATTTCAGCTTATATATAATACATTAATTTCTTGCCATTTATGGGAATGAACATTGAACATTCGGTCATTGTGTCACATTTGTACCAGTTTCTTTGTGGTGATTAGGAGGTAATCATTAGAAAGTTCGTATGAGACTCTAATGTAAGCATTATTCTTATCCTCTTACTGAGGCACCCTGGCAAATGAAATAGAGGGAATTCTCTGGATCCTTATAGACTTTTCCCTAGTTTTATTTTCAACACTACAGAAACAGGAGACAACTATTTTTCCACTTCTGCAAACCTGTGGATTAAGGCACAGGCCACAAGCTGAACCTCTTCACGGTCCCTCAAACTTTTTAAACAAGGGGTCAGTTCACTGTCCCTCAGACCCGTTGGAGGGCCAGACTATAGTCTAAAAATAAACGATGAACAAATTCCTATGCACACTGCACATATCTTATTTTGAAGTAAAAATAAACGGGGAAAAAACACCCGGCGGGCTGGATAAAGTCCTCGGAGGGCCGCATGTGGCCTGCACGCAGTAGTTTGAGGACGCCTGCTCTAGATATCTACACGATTATTCTGCCAAACAGAAAAGAAAAAAAAGTTTCAGAGAAGCAATTGAATTTTTGTGTTTCATCCTGACTACTGAGATAAAAAGAGGATAAAAATATGTTGGTGATCAGTAAACGGTCAACAATGAAAATCCTGCTAGCTAACATAATTCAACCTAAGCATAGCTACTTTATTTGATTTCAATTTCTAAATTTAAGAAAAAACTATTATTATTCTGTTCCTTACCAATTCTTGGTTTCTAATGTACTCCATTAGTTTATCTATTTTTTCCCCTTGTTTGTTGGATAGTTCCACCTCATACAAATTGAAGCACATATCTTGGTGACAAACTGTAGAGAAAAAACAAGAGACTACTTCTTATTTTCAAAATGCTGTTATATTTTAATAATCGAATTATTTTATATATTAGATGAAAGAACTAGAAACACTATTTATATTTCAAAATTCTTGGTTTTAAGTCACTTTAATAAAGCTTAAGTGGAGAGGAAATGTTTTGAGAATGATAAGGGCAATGAATGTACAAATGCGCTTTACACAATTGATGTGTGTGTGGATTGTGGTAAGAGTTGTATAAGTCCCTAATAAAATGATTTTTTTTAAAAGTTGTCATTTTATACAAAACCACTGTTAACAGATTAACAAAATAAACAATACTTGAATAACATAAACATCAGTGTTCTGTGAAATAACCCAAATATTCAAGAAATTTCCTTCTTATATGTTTTGATTTTTACTTTTTGAGTTTAAAACTACATACATACATTGGTAAAAGTATTAACAACTCCATTATTCCAAGAAATAGTTATGAGTTTTCATATTTTGGCTTAGTTTCCTCAGTACTCTACATTAAAAGCTAGTTTACCATTTTCCATGAAACTACCTACC